CTACGTGGAAGCATTTAGAGTAATTGCACAGATGTGCCATGTAAGTTCTGTCTTATTCACCACTATACTTCCGGTCCCCTTGTAGGCACTAAACATATAATGAGTGAATGAATGAAGGAAAGTCAGGGATTTGGGGATTTAGCTCAGTGGTGCTGCATCTGCCTGGCAAGCACAGAGTCCTGAGTTCAATTCCTGATACTCCCCCCCAAAAAAGCTGGGGTGATCCAGCCCTGAGCTGGACATTAGGATGTCTGGGGTTAGCCCTATCTCTCCTTCTAATGTGGGCTTTAGGTGGATCCATTTGGGGTCAGTTTCCCAGGTGAACAGTGAGGAGTAAGATGGCACCACTCAGGATGAGCCCATAGGCCAGGAGAGACTGTGATTCTGGAAGCCAGTGCCCCAGCTTGGTTCCACTGCTGGCCTGGGGAGCTCACTGCTGGGCAAAACGTTGGCCTCAGGCCCTCTGCCCACTGGCTGAGCTCCCAGCTGGGTCAGCCCTCTTCTTTCTTGGCTGGGGAGGAGACAGCAGGAGGGCCTCATTGATCTTTCCCCACTGGGGGGTCCTGGCAATAAATCTTCCCAGCCCAGGGGGTTGCCTAGGACCCAGGATTCACAGCTAGTGCATTCCTTGGCTAGGCTGGCTCCAGGCTGGTGCTTCCTACCCCTTCAGCTTCTAGCACTGGGGCCCCTGGGTAGGGATGAGCACCACCTGATCCGATCAGAACCCTTCCTCTGAGCCCCAGGAAGCCTCCGTCCTGAATGTTGCGTCTTCCTCCGGGTTTGACCTTAGGATCACCTGGCATTGCTTCGGGCAGCCCTGCCATAGGGTCCCTGACAGTCAGGAGGACTTAAATCCTTCTGTGCCATGGAATCCTGGAACAGTCTTACAAAGTCTATGGATCCCTTCTCAGAGAAATGTTTTAGATGTAGAACATAAAATGCATGACAGGTCAAAGGAAATCAATTATATTGAAATGTAATTATCAAAAAATTAAAAATACGTTTGAGATCTAGTGATTTATGTATATTGTTCAATGTGCCCAATGACGAGATCTCATGGAAAGTCCAATGACTGTTACACTTCCACAATGATCAACATGAATGATACATCCAGAGGTCCGCAGCAATTGTGCGGTGAAAGGAAAACGTCACAGAGGGCTGTGGTTTGTGGCCTTTATAACAGATGGAAAAAAGTGGCAAGTTACGGTTAGTGAAATACAGAGTTAGTGTTTTCTCTGTCCAAGGTGGTGAATACTGAGTTCTGTCTGTAGGGCCCTAGGAAGGGACTGCTAACCGAAGGGAGCCAGGTGAATGCAATCCTGAGGGCAATGGAGGGGGCTCAGCACCAGCCTGTTTCCTCAGAACCTCATTAAATGCGAAGAAACTGCGAGAGGAGTCCATTAATGGAATCACAGGCTTCAGAACTGGAAGGGCTAGAGCACTTTCGGCAGACGTCCCCAGGGTTGGTCTGGTTCTCGGCCTGCTCCGGCACAACTGTAAGGCTCAGAGGCTCAGCTCCCTCTCTGGGACACCCTCACTCCAGGGCTGGAGAGGCCCCCTTGGGGTGCAGTGACATGTGCTTCCTTCACACACACAGGTAAGTCAGGCCCAGTGCCTATGCCCCAGCTGCAGGATAGAGAGAGAAACAAGGCCCCCACTGGAGCTGAGCTGTTTTATTCACTCAGCAGTCATTGCCTGAGCTTTTCCTCAGACCAGAGGCAGGCGCTGTGTACACAGATTTAATTTCCCATTTGTTGAGTGTGTGCACAGGCACTGTGTTCTGTATTAGGCTCTGAGGCAGACGTGTACCTTCCCCCTCAGGAGGCAGATATTAGAAGAGCAAGATCAATATGGAATATCAATTTGTCACAATGGCTGTGAAGAGGTGCACAGGGAAGACCGCTGGGGCAGAAGGAAGCCAAGGACGCCTTCTTGGAGAAAGTGACCTTGACAGAAGACTTGGAGGCTAAGTACGCCAGGCTTACAGGGGGGTGGGAGAATGCTCCAAGCGGAGGGCAGAGCCGACAGGGAGCTGGCCCTGTTGCAGGAGGCACTGGGGCAGTTGACGAGGCTGCAGAGGAGGGTGAGGGCACATTCTCCCAGGCCTCGGGCCCACCGAAGTTGGACAGTATTTTAAAGGCCAAAGGAGACCATCAAAGGGCCTCACCATGCCTGTTTGAATGAAAAATAGTCTTTCGGAGCTCTAGGGCTAGCACTGTAGATATTATGGAGGAGAGGCAGTGTAACATCGATGAAGGAAGCTTCCACGTCTCTGCTCCCTTCTCCAGCCCTGCTCTCCTCAGGCTGAGTTCTCTGCCTAGATGCTTCCCACCATCTTTCTGCCTAGTCCAACCATGCAGCTAACTTTCCCCTTAGCATTGCCTCCTCCGAGACTGCCTTAATAGCAGGTTTCAGTTATCTTGTTCTGTCCTACATCACAGCCCTGGGCATCCATGTGCGTTGTTCTCATCGTGACAGTTACACGCCAATGTCCACTTTCCCTTTCTCCAAACCGCTACTGGAGTGCGTGGAAATGGGGGCTGGAGGTAGGGGAAGTTGGGAAATCTTCAACTGCAAACTGGCCCCCTGCCCTCCACCAGTCTGGGATTGGAGTAGACACTGCCACCCGCTGGCAATAAGTGGAATGGCATGCAAGATGGGGTGGGGAAGAAGGGAACTACTGGAAATAAATAGTCCAGGTCCACCCCTGCTTTCCTGAAGGATTATCACAGCAGTTGCAGCCAGAAGGAGTGTCTGATGATTTCTAGAGGCAGAGCTGGGCTGGGTAGAGGAGGGAGGAAATAAGCATTAATGTAACAATTGCTCATAAGTGAGGACCCAAGGCCCAGCCCCAAGGGGCTGCTGAGACTAGTCCAGACCTTGGACCTAAACCAGACTAGCAAGGAGGCCCAGCTTGCTACCACAGGGATCAGGGCTGTCCATACAGCAGGGAGATGACCCCTTCACCCTCAGGAGGATCTGCAGAAAGCAGGACCAGCTTCAAAGCTGGTGTCTACCCACACCCCCTTTTCTTGGAACAAGTAGTTTTGCATTAAGTTTTGGGACTTTGACCTGGGAGCTGTGTTTTCTTTCCATCGGTCACCTGATATTCTTCCTGCTCACCTCTCTCCCCCTTCCCCCTCAGTCCATAAAGCCTGGCCAGGGAGTCCTTACCTTTCCTCAAGGGTTTTGGGGAAGTGGGGGATGTTTGAGTGAGGAAGGCAGAACCTAGGAACTGGGTGCTGAGGGCAGAGGCTGGCCTACACCCTGGGGGCACTGGCCCGTAGGGAGGGATGTCACAGCAGTGACTTACCCATCGCTTTTCTGGGATTTTGTCTTCCATCTGCCTCTTCTTCCTTTGCAACACTGTGTGAAGGGCTGCACCCAGGCCGTTGCTCTGCTCCTGTCTTGAACACACATAGACACACATATCCGGACATACACAGGTCTTGGAGGGATGACATGTGCTCCTATCCCAAGTTATCAACCCTGTATCACAGGTGTCTCTTGCATCTAACTCTACTCCAGACCCAGAGAATCTGCTGCCTTCTGTATGGCTCCCTCAGAAGGGTCCATGCGCCACCCACACAATACACCTAAGCCTGTCGCCTGTCATATACCCCTCTCTCCCAACTTGCTCTGGCTCCTTCCGAGGCTTCACCACCCACCCATTCAGTTACCAGAGCCAGAAACCTAACCTGGAAGTCACCTCCCTCCACTTCCCAGCTGGCCACTATGCTAGAGGCCACGCCCTGGCTTTTCTACCTCCTAAGCAGATGCCCCTTTTCTCCGATGCCCCCTTCCATCCCCTAATGCAGATCTGACCATGACTCCCTTGCCTGAAACCTTGAGGATGGGGTTAGTGGGTGTTTGTTAAATTCAGCTCCACTCCTTATATTCTAACCTGCAATTCCCTGGCTGTTTATTAACAGGCACAGTGCCTGCTCCAGATTGTGCCTGCAGTCTCACACCTGGCCAGAGCAGGAGGGAGAAGGAATCCATGTGTATGGGAGGCAATCACTCAGATCCACGTGAAGTTCTCCTAGAATACCTTGAGAGTAAATACCCCAGATTTGATTGGTAATGGGCCCACCGTGCCCTTTGTGTACAGACACAAAGCAGGGGCAAGTTGTGGTTTCTGAGTGCTCCCACTGGCGGAGCCATTCTGCTAGTGCAAGGGCTGTCAGCAGGTTCTCTGGGAAACAGTTTGGTGGCTTTGGGCAGGGAGGCTGTGGAGGAGCCTCCTGCTCAGGCCCTGGCTTCTGGGAAGCCTCCCTTCCTTCCATCTACGTTTCTCTCTCTTCTTCTCTCTTCCACCTTTCCTCCTTCCCTTCTTCTTTTCCTTTCTTCATAGACTGAAAGCAGGAGCGATTGGTGAGTGTAATTAAGGAACAGCTGGCACAGCAGAGGCTCTCATAAACCCAGAGCCTATGCTTGAGCAGGGGATTGTAGGGATTCAACTCCATGGCCACCCACTTTTTGGCTATCTGTCTGAGGGTAGGTGTTGTGGCCTCTGACTAAGCTCAGGTGTTGTCTCCCCAATTTCCAGAGCCTGCGTAGGGTCAGTTGGGCTGGGAAGGTTGGAGGCTGGGACTTTAAGACCCTGTTGTGATCTATGGGACTGGTAGGTTTAGGAAACCTCTGGGGCTGGGGGCAGTGATGCTGCCTTGTGTCCCAGCCTCACTGGGGCCCAGAGTTCAGCTTTGGTGAGGAGAATGGGCTCTGAGGGAAGTGGGCAGCTCTGAGTCTTCCCTGGGTCGCTGGGGTTTTCCCCAGGCTTCCTAAACCAGACAGCCAATTTCTTAATCCCACTGTCAGCCTTCCAAGAAGCCCCACCCACTGCATTCATTTAGGCAGGAGGGACAGCGTATTACTGATTTCCCCAAAGCCTGGCTGCTCCTTGTGGAAGGGGAAGTTTAGGAAGAGCCTCTGGGGCAATCTGGGGCTTGGGGCAGGCTGGGATTTCCCTGCATCTCCCTGGCTCTCTGCCCTGCCTCCTTAGCTGGTCTCTGAAGGTGTAGCCTTGAATGCCAGCTCAGGGGGCTGGGCATCAGCCAGGGAGGACTGGCCAGGAAGCTCATTTCCCTGGGAGGGAGGGCACTTTTCCTCCACCACCCACTCGCCCTCCCTCAGCCACCTGCCTAGCTTTTTTCCTCACTTGCTCTTGTCCTCCAGAGCCAGACAGGCTCCAGCTTACCTCAGGTACACACCGCCAGGCCCCACGCAGCTCCAGGAGGCCAGATACGGGCAGCGGAGCGAAGACCCAGGAGCTTCCTGCAGCCATGCTGGCCCTCAGCCTGGTCATTCTGGGCCTGCTCACTGCAGTGCCACCTGCCAGCTGTCAACAAGGTAGCACAGGACAGGGGAAAGTCTGGGTGGCTATAGGGAGGAGAGGCTGGGCTGGACACTGGGGACCTGGTGGAGGTTGGGGTAGTGTCCTGGCCACTCCTACCCCAACAACTCTACTGGAAAGGAGCAGGAATGGGTTATCCAGGCCTCTGTCTGTGACCTGGGACCAGCAGGGGGAAATGTTGGGTCTAGGATCAGGAGTCGAGACCCAAGCTCCCAAGCAGGAACTTCCCTGGAGATGGCTGGCCCCTGAGGGGAGGACTCAGGCCTACAAAGATGGCAGGAGGGGCCCCAAGCCACCTCTCCAAGGCAGGCAGGCTTGCTCTGGGAGGGTTTGCCCATGGCTTTGACCTAACTGCTCACCGTCTCTGCTTCCTTGGGCTGGGGTAGGGTGCTCAGCCCCCCAGGTGGCCCCCACCATGAAATTAGCTTTTTGTCCTGCTAATTCTGTGTTGCTGTGTGGCTTTAAGAAATCACTGCCCCTTTCTAATTCAGTTTTCTCATCCATAAAACGAGGACAGTAAACTCTAACCCGACACTTCCCACAGCTGCTGCCAGATTAGGGGTGTGTGCCAGTGAAGCACCACACCCCAAGGCCTGCCACCCTCTCTGCTCTGTCAGGCTGCATCTGTGGCCAGAGCCTAGTGATTACATGGGACCCAGGTCCAGAGAGGGCTGGCAGAGCTGGATCCAGAGCATCCTCTCCTAGGCTGTCTTGCATATTTGCTTTGCTCCCAGGTCTTGGAGGTTCTCCAGGGAGCTGAAGAAACCAGAGAGGTTGAATAACTTACAAGGGTGGCACAGCAGGTGAAGAAATACCAGACCCAGGCCATCTTTCTCCTGTCCCAGGCTCTACCTTGTGCTCTGCATGCCCACTCCAGAGCCACACAGGAGGGTGAACAGGGGACTGTGGCCCCTGGTATGTCTGGGAAGCAGGGCGGGACCTCTTAGAGTTTCTGCCAGAGCTTGAGTAATCACTGAGCCCTGCGAAAGCAATGGGTCACTGTTTCTATGGGGGCCAGGAGTCTACCTGATGATCTTTGCAGGGTAACCACATTGTGTATCTTCTGTTACTCCTGGTGCTAAGTTCCATAATTCTCTCCTTCTCAACACCTGCCAGGCTCAGAAAGAGCTCAAAGAAGAGTTTAGGTTTTCACTGAAGCAGGTAAGATTGAAGATAGACACAAGGGAGGACTTTTGAATGGAAGAAAGGCAGAGTAAGGTTTCTCTCTCTCTCTCTCTCGTGCTCCCTCTCTCTCTCTCTCTCTCTCTGTACTGGGGTTTGAACTTTTGAGGCAGGCAGAGGCACCACTGGGCTAAATTCTCAGCCCAGCAGAGTAAGGTTTTTCAGTGTCTAGCCAGAATCTCTTCTAGGATGGCTCTAGGAGTACAGATGCTATGTCTGGAAGGGGATCTCCAGATGTTTCCTGTTCACCTCTATTTCCTCCTGGCACCCTTACCTCTGGTCATCTTTCCTCTGAGAGGCCCTGGAGCACAGTGATGCCCAGGAAAGAGGAGAGCTCTTGGGGCTGCTAGTGGTCAAGAAGCAGACTTCTGGGAAATCTTGAGGGTTGGAACTGGTGCCAAGGGTCAGAAAGCAGAGAAGGTGCATGGCTGGGCCTCACTTGGTTTCTGGCCCTTGTCCTCTGGGAACCAGGCTGGAGGAGCAAACAAGGCTCACATTGAAGCATATTTCCTGGCCATACTTCACTGGGAACCCTGCTGACCTGCCTGGCTGATATCATACCTTCCCAGGCTCCTCCCAGAGGACCACTTCTGGCTACAGAACAGGATCTTCCAGATGCCAGGCCCAACCTGGCAGCTCTGGGTCACCCTTCAGCCTGCTGGGAGCTGCTGAGGAGGAGGGCAGCCCAGCTACCAAGTCCTACACCAGTTGTTCACAGGGCTGCCCTTTAGTCCCTGGGGCCCAGGCACACCCTGGGGGACCCTGCATGTGATGGGTCGGGGAGTAGAAAGGATCTGGGCTTCCGAGATCTCAGACACAGCCCCCGAATCTTATTCCATCCTTGTCTGCTCAGGCTTCTTTGAACTTTTGTCTTCTTTTCTTCCCAATGCTGTCCTTATTCTCATACTCTGTGGGGTTAGATGGGCCTTCATTCCCATCCCTGGAACCTCAGAGCGTCTCCTTCAGCCCAGCAGTGGCTGATGGACTCCAACAAAGGCTCCAGTGTTAGGGGCAGGATTGCTCTTGCAGCCTCCTCTCTTTTTCAGGCCTAGGGAACCTTCAGCCCTGGATGCAGGGCCTCATTGCGGTGGCAGTGTTCCTGGTCCTCGTTGCAATTGCCTTTGCCGTCAACCACTTCTGGTGCCAGGAAGAGCCGTGAGTGCTGACCAAAGGCCTTGGGCTGGGCTGCCCTGAGCTGGCAGAGTGCGCCTAGCACCACTGCTCTTGTTCTAGCAGCAGTGAGAAGGGCTCAGAAAGCCTAGGTCAGTAGAAGGGAAACAGGCTCAAGGGCACAGGATGAGTTGGTAACAGTCAGAAGGAGCACTCAGGCTTGCTGGCTCCCACCCCTAGGCTCTGTCTGTCCTGTACCTCCTGGTGAGCTCTGGGGAATGCCTTGTCTCCTAGGAATCTCAGTGTTTCCATCTGCAGAGTCAGGGTAGCTGGCTGGGCCTCCTTCTGGAACACAACATCCGGTCCTTCTGGAGGGCAGTGGCAGTGCAGAGAGGCCTCACAGACTGGATGAGCAGAAGTGAAGCCTGAGCTGATCTGGGGGGTTGAGAAGAATTCCAGACGGCACATCTGTCCCACGGCCTGAAGCACTAGAGGAGTCAGTTGTGGGCATGGGCAGGTGTCTGCCGGGCACGAATGCACAGAGGGCAAGAGCCACTCTGCACTTGCCAGGCCAGTCCCCAGTGTCAAGGCTGCATCTGTCCCTGGAGCAACTTTGCTCTGCTCTCATACAGGTGGCCTGGTGGCCAGGGGTCAGCAGTAGCCCAGTGCAATCTGCAGAGAAAACATAGGCAGCTCAGTGGGTAGGGAGGGATGAAGAAGCCAAGATGAGGTTGGGGAGGTGAGCAGGGCCGGGGCCAAGCAGGGCCCTGTGTGTGAAGTTTGGGCTTTGTCTTGTGTGGTAGGAGGCCAGTGAAAAGTCTAAGCATGACGACTACTGACGAAGGGCAGTGAGAACAGTCTGCAGGTGTGGAGAGTACTGAGCAGGAGGTGGGGCAGGGTCTGGACCCAGAGGTGGCAGAGGTGATGTGAAGGGATAGGTCCAAGAGCTGCCTAGGAGGTGGGACCCTGGGAGTTGCTGGATTAACATAGTAGGGGAAGAAAGAGGGGTGACATCCTGGAGCCTGCCCGAGGATGGGCAGATTTGGGGGCAACTGCTGGATTTAGTCTGGGACATGTCAGGTCTGACATTCCTGTGGGGTCAGACAGGGAAGGATGGGTGGGACAGAGCCTACAATGCAGCGGGTTTATGGTTGAGCAAGAGGTAATGCACATAGAAACCACTTGCTTCTCCAGTGACCCTGTCTACTGCTACTTTGGGGCAGACAGAATCCTGTGAGGTCGGCTCTGGGGATGGAGCCGAGTGTGATAGGGTGCAGTGGAGAGAGGTCTTGGGTTTGGGATAAGTCCTTTGCAGATCTCCAGCCCCCACTGTGGACCAGGCAGAAGGCTGGGAGGCCCCAGTGGGATGAAGTCTGATGTAGGCTCTGGTAGAGCCCTCTGGACAGAAGTACTTCTGTGAAGGGACAGCCTCTGCCTTGGGCTTGTCAGAACCAGGATCCAAAACAGGGTCTTTGTGGACGGGGTTGGAAGGGGAGTTATTATTGAAGTGTCCTATGCCTAGGGAGCCTGGAGCCATGGTCATGACCGTTGGAAACATGACGGATGGAGTCCTGGTGGGAATGGAAGGAAGGTACTCCTCAGTGGCGGCTGGCTTCAGGTGAGGGGCCTGAACAGGGCTGCCTGCTCTGTGCTCCAGGAACTTGGTGGGTAGGGAGGATTAGAAAGAGGCATTGCTGGGTGTGGGGTGGGGAAGGGCCACGAGGTGATGGGGCTGTCAGGATTTTAGGACTCCACGGTGGGCAAAGCCTCACTTTGGTGAGGGTCTCCTTTAAGGAATGGGGACCTGGTGGGAGATTCAGTGACATTCATAGGGCAGTGGGTGCTGTGGGGAAGAAGGGTTCAACATGAGACAGAGGTTCACCGAAGGGGTGTAGTGGAGGAAGCTTGGGGAGTGGGGTCAAAGGTGGACCCAGAGAAGGAGGAAGGAGCTCCAGGAAGAGGGACATGGGATTTGGGAGATGTGCACTCTCCAGGTGCATAGCCTTTTGTGGGCCTCAGTGTTTATTCTGGACAAGATTGCCCTTGCAAGTCCAGGATTGGGCAGGGATGGGTGAGAGGCCTGATGATCCACCAGGCCTCTGCCTTCTTTTCCAGGTCCAGTGAGCACAAGAATGCCTATGAGAACGTCCTAGAGGAGGAGGGCAAAGTCCGCAGCACCCTCATGTGACCCGGCTCGCTTGAGGCTCTGAGGCACCTGTGATCCATGCCATTGCCACCCAGCCACTTCCTTTGCAGTGCAGGAATCTAATGGTGGGCTGACACCTTGGAGCTGCCGCCAGCCAAGTTTGGGGCTCACACTGTGTCCAAGTAGGGGCTGACTGTGGCCCTTGGGTCTTCCTGGGGGTCTCCTACCCAATTCAGAGAACGCTTCTGAAATGATAGCCAGCTCAGCACCTCCCCTCATGCCTCCCACCCTACCCCACGAGCATGGAAATGGCCCTTCTCTCTGTGAAATAAAGACTTTTTGTATGTCTGGGGCTGAGGCTCAGAAATAGCCCCTCAGGCTTCCAGCGAGGCCCATCTTTCTTTTTCAGCCAGGACAATCATGTCTGAAGCCTGGTCATGGTGGCTTTGGAGGATTACCCAGGAAGCTCCTGGCCACAGGGCAGCTGGGCTGGGGGTGGGAGGTAGGCCAGTGAGGGTGAGGCCTGACAGCCTGGTGGTGTGGAGAGTGGGCCTGCGACTTTCCTGGAGTCTGAATGGTGTGCTGTGTGGGATGAACTCCTGTGTGAGCGGGAGACCACCTGCCCCTGGGTCGTACTTTTCTCCTCTGGTTGAATCTTCCCTTGAGCCACAGCCACAGGTGAGCTCCCTGCAGGGCAGATGCTGGCTACCTGAGATTCCGGGAGGGCCATCAGTCCTCTGTGCAGCACCCCACCCACTTCTGTGCTGCTCTGCAGGGCAGGGAGTTCAGCGTCTCTCATCCATCCAGCTCTGCTCCCCTCACGTAGTCTGAGTGCTGGACTTTGACATGGGAAGTGCCAGGAAAGAGTCTGGGGCTGGAGTCAGGATGCCTAGATTGGAGTCCTCTGTCCTTGTCGACTTGCTGTGTAACCTCGGGAGAGCTCCTGTCAAGCCCTGATCCCGGAGGATTTGGCCAGTCTCACTGCAGTGCAGGAATAGAATCTAGTCCTCTCTATTGGCCTGGCTCACAGTCCTGGGGTGGGGCTCTGGGAACGGAGCAGCAGGCAGGGAGAAGAAGAGGGGACTCAGGGCCTGGCTGACCCTGGACTCGCCTCTGTGAAAGCTGGTCTTGGGGAGCAGCTAGTCTGCCTGGAGGGGGTCACCTTCAATACTCACTGGGGCATTCCCAGATGCCTGCAGCAGAGGGAGTGAGCGGGGCTTAGGATGCTTCCTGAGCAGGGAGTGGGGAACAGTGTCTTGGCTCCAGGCCTTTGCCGCCTTGCTGCCTGTCCTGAGGCAAGTCACCTTCCTTCTCTGGGCTTTGGCTTTAACTATGGCTGATGTTCCTTTAAGTCCTACTCTAGGCTTTGGCTCAGGTGGTTTTCTTCTGTGACTCACCCTCTCTCATCCGCCTCTGCCAGCTTAAACTTAACCTGTTTTCCTTTCTTGGCCCAGCCAAAGTTTCTCTTCCTCTGAGAAGTCTTCCTTGATTAAACCAAAAGGCAAAGCCAGGTGATCTGCCAGCCGAGCTTCCCACTCACTGGAGGAGCGGCAGAGGTTTCTATAGAGCATGATGATGAACCTTTTAGATCTTTCAGTGATTCAAATAGCCCTCTGTGGTACATGTGCCATGGGTTCGGCAACTCTGCTAGGCACAGACATTCCCTTCTTCCCTTCTGGTTGGGATCTGACCTTCCCTGCTTGAGGCCCTGTCCGCTCCCCAACCACTCCTGCCTCCATTGTCCCCAGGAGGTGGAGGTGGGTTCCCTAGTCTGCTCACCAGCCTGGCCTGTGGGAGCCCCCAGCGAGGTGTCACCAGGTGGGTCTTGCTTCTGCCTCGACCCCCTTGCTCCCGGCAGCAGCCCTGGGGCGGGAGTCCTCACACCCTGCTCTAAGAGGTTCATTGTCCTCCCTATTCTGTCTTTTTCAGTTTGGGCCGGACTAGAAGGGTGGGAACCCTGGGGACCCTGCAGGGGCCGGACTGGCACTGACCTACAGCCCCACCCCCACCCCACGTTCCTGCCCTGACCGGGGGTGGGGAGCATGGAACTGCCCGCCGGCCTAGAACAGCCAAGACCCCCCACTCCTTATCGCTGCCTCCCACCTGCCAGCCTGGTCGGATCAGTGAGGGAAAGAGGCTGGGCTGAGGCCAGGGCGGCTGCTTAATGACCCTCCCGGGGCCTAATCTCAGACTGGCAGCCGTTGAGTGGCTCGGGCTCCATCCTGGAGGAGGCTGATAACGCACCAGCTGGGCCCCCACCTTCTATGGGCAGCAGGACCAGTCCCCAGGGGGTCTCAGAGGCTGGGGAAGGGGCCGGAAGCAAACTCCCACCCCTGGCCCCAGGGGGAGGGAGGGGTCCAGAGCTCCTCCCGTGACAAACTGGGGGAGGGACTGGCTGGGATCCTGCTCCTGTGCCCTTCCCTGCTCCCTCCCGGGCATTCCACTCCCCTGACGGTACCCTGTGGCCCTGGTCTCCTCTTTGTCTCTGTTCATTTGCATCCTGTGTCCTTCTCCCTCCTCCGTGGGAGCTCAGTGCCTAGGGTCTTTCCCGGCTTGCATTTCTTCTGTTTCCAGGTGGTTCTCTCAGGTGCTTCAGCTCCCAACCCCAAACTTCCCAGATGTGGCCCCTTGGCCTGTGAATCCCTCACCTCGTGCCCCACCAATCCCTGCCCCTTGCTCTCTGCCAGGAAGAGAAGGTGCCTTCTGCTTCTGGAAACAGGACTTGCCCCTTTCTTTCTCCTCTCCTACTCAAAACATGTGAATTTCACAGGATGACATAAGAGGTGACGACCAAACTCACACGAACAGAAGCATCCCAGGAAAGGGAAGCCTCCCCTCCAGGCCCTGCACAGGTGGCAGCAGATTACAGCACTGCTGACTTCAGTTAGATTTGAAAAGAAACCTCCAGCCTAGAGCTGGTTTGGACAACGGCTTAGAGTCTGTCTCCAGACTCCTGTTCTAGGAGAGTGCTGCGTGGTCAGGATGAATTTCAAGATAACTTCCCTGGTACTCAGGATAATGTGTGCAGGAATACCACATACTCAAGGACCCAGGACTACTGCAGGGAAGAGGGCATGGGAGCCCAGGGCACACTTTTTTCTGTCTTCTTGGGCCAATTCATTTGCAAGTCAGCCATCAGAGCTTCCTCTGGGGCAAGAGTGGGGGGCATCTGCTTTAGAGTCTGTCTCCAGACTCCTGTTCTAGGAGAGTGCTGCGTGGTCAGGATGAATTTCAAGATAACTTCCCTGGTACTCAGGATAATGTGTGCAGGAATACCACATACTCAAGGACCCAGGACTACTGCAGGGAAGAGGATATGGGAGCCCAGGGCACACTTTTTTCTGTCTTCTTGGGCCAATTCATTTGCAAGTCAGCCATCAGAGCTTCCTCTGGGGCAAGAGTGGGGGGCATCTGCTTCCTGTGCAGATCTGGGTGTGTGTGTGTGTGTGTGTGTGTGTGTGTGTGTGTGTGTGTGAGCTCCTCAGCTCACCTCTCCTTCCATTTCAGTCCCTAGAAGTGTGCACAGTAGCCCAAAGCTTAAGCTGGGAATCATACAGATGCTGGTTCAAACTCCAGGTCTGCTTCTCAGTGCTCTGGGACCCCTTAGATTTTCAGGTCTTCACTCTCCTGCCAGTAAAATCAGCTCTGTAACAGCCTTTCTGTAGTGCCACTGGGGGAATAGAAATACCATGTGTTATTATTGCGCTTGAGACTTGCCAGGAAGCAAGTGACCTATGCTCAGCTTAGGGGTCCAGCCTCTGCACTCAACTCATAGCCCTGTCTGCTCACTTGTGTGCCCAGCTCTGGCTCCAGGTCTGGGAGCCCCTCAAAGGCAGGACTGGAGTCACATCCTTCTATGCATCACCAGTGCCCAGGACATGGCTGGGGAGGGGAATGGGAGCCTGCAGAGGGGTGAAGCCATGCAAAGGAAGAGGATTAAACTGCAATAGTCCGTCGACCTGTATGTCTGTCCATATCCCTCTGACCCTCAAGAGTACAGACACACGTGTGCACACATGCACACATCCATACATGCATGCACCTGCAGGGCCAGCTGCTCTCCCTCTCTGCCTGTGGCCTCGGCTGCCACCTGGTGGCTGTACACAGTATAGGAGGGACAGAGTCAGAAAGGCTTTGAACATGAGCTTCAGGTGGGCTCTTTCCCTTGAGTGCAGGGATCTGAAGCCTTTCCACCACAGTCTATGGACCCTTTCATGTTGTGCTAACAAGCACTGGGCCTTCCTGCAGGCCTCGAGGGCAGCGGGGCCTCTTTGCCCTTGATATCTTGGGCTCTGAGCTGTACAGCTGAAGTCCAGCTTTTGGGGGCTTAGGCATCCTGGTCCTGATGCCACACAGCCCTTCTCTCAGAAGGGGTCTGAAAGCTCAGTGCTTCTGCCCTGGTTCTGTCTTTCCAACAAATGGCCCCATTTCGAGGGCTTTGTTCTCTGAAGACACTGGCCTCTTGGGGAAGCAAAGTAGAAAGAGCTTGGGGTGGAGAGAGGGGTAAAAGAGGAGGGAAGGCCCAGGGTGGATCCGAGCATCTGCCTCAGCAGGATGGAAGGTAGGGGAGCTGAGTACACTTTACTGAGTGGTGCCCATTCCTCCCTCCACTAGCCAGGCCCTGCCATCTGGTTTGGGCCTGTGTCTCCAGGAGGGAAGAGTTTGTGTTTTTGATTTTCATAAAGGCATCATGGAAGCCAGGAAATGACACGAGGGGGAAGATGGTAGGGACAAGCAGTAGTGTGTGTGGGATGAGGCAGTATGTGTGGCCACTGGGAGATCTGAGCCTGTAGAGAAACATCGACAAGGGAAGGACTTGGAGGGGCAGCTGTGAGGGCAGCTGAGCTCCGAGGCTCTGGGAAGCGCCTACTGCAGTAAGTGAGCCAGGGATTTTGCTTGAGAACTGGATGATCCCTGAGTGTTTAAGAACCTTGGTCTGGGTCAGGCATCCTGGTCACAGCACAGCTCTGACACTGATACTGTGCGACTGCGGACAACCCAGCCCCACTCAGCTCCCATTACTGTACACTGGGGCCAGTAAAGGAGTCTGTCTAATAAGATATGTGAGTACTAAAAAGAAACAGTGAGATAAGTGATATGTGAGATCAAAGATACGTGAGCAAAGAGCATAAAACCCACAAAATATACTCAGCACATGATGTACACTGTTGTAG